GAATCCAGGAATACAAAAACAGGGCAAATCAGCTAAGCAGAGCAGTAAAAATAGCACTACAAAAACACTGTAACAGAAACTGAGAAAACCATATTCTAGAGATAAAAGAACAAGGCCCAAAAATGCAAAACGTTTGAAAACTGCAGACCGTTTTTAGAGACGTTAGACTACTTTTACACGGTGAGAATGGAGTAGTCTACTCTATTAAGGAAAAAGCCGAGATGATGATATATAGACTTCATCGAAGACGTCGAAGAATAAGAAGAAAGTCTCCAGGAACCAAAGAAAATCATCTCTATAACATCTCCAGAGGAAATAAATGAACTTCAAAAACAGTTCACCAAATAAAGCACCTAGTTTAGACGAAATAACAAACAGATCTTTAAAATACCTACAAACAAAAGCCATAGTATTCCTAACTAATCTAACAAAAGTGATTGTGAGATACAGGTTCTTCCCAAATTGATGGAAGAATGCCCACGTCATGATAATTTCAAAGCCATGAAAAGCCAATATGTTCTCGCAAAATTACAGACTGATTAGTTGACTACCCGCAATCAGCAAAATAGTGGAAAAAGTCATATTAAGCAGACTCCAAGCCAAGATAGATTGGCTAGGATTACTACCTAAAGCTCAGTTCGGCTTTAGAGCAGAACATTTCAGCGAGTTACAAGTACTCAGATCAGATTAACACAGTACATAACAGGTGGCATTAATGACAGGCAATACACAGGAGAATCCTTTCTAGATGTAAGTAAATCCTTTGACAGAGTCTGGCATAATGGTTTAATATACAAAATCTAAGGATTCGAATACTTCGGATACTCGGAACTTCAGAGGCTGCAGTGCCATAGGGGGTGGTCCTGTCACCCTTACTGTGTGCACTATGTAAAGCCGACTTTCCAAGAACACTAGGAACACTGTGTAGTCTTTATACTGACGACACAGCGATTACAGCGAAACATCGGAGTAGCGACATAGCGATAAACAATTTACAAACAGCATTAAACACCAAAGAAGAGTGGAGCACACAGTAGAAAATTGTCATTAACTCTAAAAAAATACAAAAAAAACGAACAGATAAACCCAGAGGAACAGCTGACGGAGCGAAATAATCCCATCGACTGAAAAAGCGATGCTAAATAACTGGAACTCAAGATGAATCAATCAATCAAATAATTCAAAAATCATGTAGACGCAAAAGTACAAAAAGCAGCAGTAGCCAACGATGCAAAAAAAGACTCGCAGGTAGAAAAGTAAACTAAGCAGAAAAACAAAACTAATACTGATAAACAGTATCGTACTAGCTATATTAACATATGCATCTCTGGCATGGGGACACACCAGCAAAACAATTAGAAAAAGGATAAAAGCAGCCTAAAATAACTGCCTACGTGAAGCATTTAACGTACCAAAACACGACGCAAACCGTTTTCTGTACAAAGATCTACAGAAAATAAGAGTGATAAACACGATGGTCAAAAAGCTAGAGTAAAGATACAAAACAACATATCCTGACTAACATGTAACTGAGAAAACAAGGTTTTAGCTCTAAAAACGAAGACAACTAAAAGCACTGTGTGAAATCCAATATAATTTACAAAAAACAAAAAATCGGCCACTGTCAACAAAAAAATAAAAAAAAACTACTAACCAAAAGGGCAAAAGTCTTCAAAAAAATTAACAAAAACTTTAAAAGCTGGGAATGAAGGGCCCACATCCTCGAGCACCCAGTCGCCAAACTAGGCGTAGCCAGAAGCGGAGACTTACGGCCCAAGCAAGCAATTTTAGTTCGGTGATATGCCACTTGAAGATAACAGGTAAAAGCGTTTCACGCAAGCTTCCAATTAATTGGATTAGGAAGCTGTGTTGAAGTTCTTGTACCCAGGACTTCCATACAAGGAGTATTTGGCTGATAATTGTGCCCCTATCACGTATCAGAATAATATAGAGGGAAAGAAATAGTCTAGCTAGAGCCTTAAATATCAACTACAAAGACTGAAATTTGTTTTTTTTTTCCAAAAAACACCACACTCCTCAAGGTAACTTTAAACTAGGAAAAATATAATTTCCAATCAAACATTGTGTAAAATATCTAGGCACATATTTGGATCGTAAACTGTTATGAAAGGATCAAATTCATTCTATTATAAAAAATTGGAAAACTCCATGAATATCCTTAGAGCATTTTGTAAAACCAGTTGGGGAGCTGACCCGAATATTACATTGCTATTTTATCGCTCAATGATTCGACCAATTTTCGAATATAGTTGTCATTTATATGGGCCTGCGTCAACAGGACATCTTAATAAAATTAAAACCCAAAAGAATAAATATTTGAGGCTATGTCTCGAATACTTAAAATCTACTCCTATTAGTATTATTGAAATTGAAGCTAAAGAGCCTCCCGTTACACTACGCAGACAGTTCTTTACAGATAAGTTTGTAGCTAGAGCTATATCAAAAAACTTCAGCTATTTAAAAAATATTCGTAGCTTGGATATATCAGTCTTAAGCCATAAATATTGGCGTAACAAAAAAACTCCCATATACGTTGAAAGTTATAGGAAATTAACAATATTTATAGAACAAATGTATCAAAGTAAAATACCACCAATTTATACACAACCTCCTAAGACTCTCTTCTCTAAGATAATAGAAACATATTATATGGATTCAAATCTTCCAGGAAGTATGATTAACAAAGTAATTAAAGATAAGTGGCCTGCATCTTAATTAATTTTTACTGACGGCTCTAAAATTCAAAATAAAGTGGGTTGTGCAATATATCACTGGAATGCTAATTACAAAGAATCATGTCGATTGCCCAATGAAGCTTCAATATATACTGCTGAACTATCAGCTTTATTTCTTGCGTTAAAATATATAGCCTCTATTGAAATGAATAATTATATCATTCTGACTAATTGTAGAAGCATTATGGACAAACTCACTTCTATGAAAATCACAAAATACTTAAACCATATTGAGATAGAAATCAAGAAGTTACATTATGATATTATTTCCGCAGGTAGTTCGATTATTATTTGTTGGGTAAAAGGACACTCTGGAATATTAGGAAATGAAGAAATGAAGAAATAAATCTGCAGCTTTAACCAAACATAACATAAACAACATACTTCTTCCAGTAGCAGACATGGATAATATCAGTAGAAACAACAGCAAACAAAGATGGAAACGTTTATACAACCAAAGTACAACTGGAATCAACTTTAGAGCTTGCCAACCACTAATACCCAATGAAAGATGGTTCAAATATGAGACAAACAGGTTATTTATAAAAACAAAAAACAGAATAAGATCAAACCATGCACTCACTCCTGCATATAAACACAGCATAGGCCTCACTGATAGTGATAACCCATATTGCTCCTGTGGTAAAGTGGGAGATCTGCATCACCTTAATATATTGGAGTGTGGACAGTACAAAGTATCAAAATGATGTATGAAAAACTAATTGAGCTAAATTGTCCATTGCCTGTCAATTTGAATACAATTATTTTTTCAAATAATACGCAGATATTAAAATTTATCAACGAATACATAACGTCCTGTAAATTTAAATTATAAGTAGTTTTAGGTATTCAAATTAAAAATTGTAAATATGTCAAAAATTGAATGTATATACATATAACGTATAACATATTACTTCCTGTAAAATTATATTATAAATAGACTTAGGTAATAAATCAAAAATTGTAACTACCACCAATAGTCTGTCTAATTGGCTATGCCAAAGCCATTATACAATAAAAAAAAATAATTAGTTATATTGATGTTAAAAAGTTGTTATTACTAAATTCATTAAATCATTACTTTTTGACTTATTTTTATTGGGGTGTTGGTGTACCCCAGGGTAGTGAAAGTGCAAATTTAAATACGGGTAAGGTTTAAAAGTTTATTATGGTTTTACTTTAGACGCTAACTTATCAGGAACCTTTAGTTCGTCTCTTTCTTCACTTTCCATATTTTTATTCTTAATTTCTTGACATTTCTGAATAATTTGGCTTATTATCTTTTGCTTCGTTTATTTTTTTAAACTTTTTTGGCTAATGTAGTATAGAGATATAATTGGGTTTTCTTGCAGTTGTAAAAGTAGCTTACGATGCGAGTGTATAGCTTCCCTTATTATAGTCCAAATAACATTTAAATGCTGTTTTTGGTTGTTGCCTGAGTAATATTATTATCTTTTTGCCAATGTTCATTTTTTCAGAATCAGGCCATCACATCTCGCTCGTTTCAAGGATATCAATATTCCACCTGTTTATTTTTTAATTGCTATTATGGATTTTGTCGTCTTCAAATATGTTTTTATTATTCTAGGTGCGATCTAAATCACTTATTTTTAGTTTTTTTTTACTTATGAGTTGGCCCTCCTCGCGTAAATTCTGAGCACTACCATGTAATGTTTGCCAAGGACTAGAGACCAAATGTGTTATCTTACCTACAAAATTAATTGTTATTAAGGTTAACTTAGGATCTTTAATGTGGTAGTCATACCGTGTCTCTCCACATACTTGAACTTGTTCCTAACTTCGTTATAGTCTTCAACCTATGTATAATTATAAACAGGGCGTTATGTTTGAAATAAGGAATTTTTATTTAACTTTTGACATACCAAAAAGGGGTAGTAGACTCTTAATATTTTACATTAATTAAGCATATCTGAAAACATATCAGAAGACATATCAGATAATAATTCTCTTAAGTCTCTCTAAAACATCTAATTGAAACTTGCAAGGAACTACCCTGTATTTATTTTTTGCCTTTGAACATAAAATTTTTCTTGTCCTTTTTTGTTTATTTTTTCTTTCACGTTCTTAATATATCAACTAGTCAAATAAATCTTGTATATTGACTTCTTCCAGTTTTTCATAACTTCTTGATTTCAACGATTACTGCTTAAAATACTCTTTATATCAGATAAGTTCTAAATAATAAGTAATGTAATTGTGACTCAAATTCGGTATAATACTTACTGATTTTACGATGGCTTCCAGATTGTCCTTTCCTGAAGAGAGTGAAGAAGTTAACTCTTGCATTTCTATCAAAAACTCGTTAACGTATCCACTTGTTATTTCCTTGATACAAGAATTAATATTTTCCGATCTTTCCTTTAAATCAATAACGTCCTGACTGATCGTACCTGCTTCGGCTGCGATGCAAAAGTCCTTCGATTGTTCTACCACCGACCATCCTTTGACCTTTGTCTTAAGGAAATTCACTCCGGGTAGAGAAATCTAAAGCAATTAGAAAATTATAAAAAAACAATTAGAAAATTGTTGAAATCTAAAACAATTAGGAAATAAAGAGGCAGACAACGCTGCAAAATAAGCTGCAAGTAGTGATAGTGCGGAGTGTACTAAAACATTTAGGAGCGCGGACGTGAAAGCGGCAGTTAAATTTAAAGTGCGATATATGTGGGAAGAAAAGTGGAAAGTGTCATCGGCCAAGCTATGTGATGTTAAAAAATCGATAAAACCCTGGCCCACATTACCAATAAGTCAGAGAGACCGGGTAATATTAACGCGACTTTGACTGGGTCATACGCGACTAACGAATAGCTACTTGATCTCCAACCCAAGATGTGACAACTGTGATGAAAAATTAACAACCAAACATATATTAGAAAAATGTCCAGCATTAACGATAAAGCGCATGTTGTACAGTATACCCAACAAACCAAGTATTATTTTAGGTCTACAGTGCAATATTACAAGCATACAAAGTTTCTTAACCTAAAACTTAACGTTTTAAATGCTATCTAAACTAACACTATAAATGTAATACAAATGATTGTTTGCTATCATTATTGCGCTAATAGCCAGTTTGGCTGATGCAATTTCGTAAATAATAAAAAAAAACACTCGTTTGTATAGTATGTAGAAATAGTTATCACATCTCATATGCTGTGAAATTCTTCAAGATAGGGGATTCACGTGTCATTTGTTGCAAAATAGTGTCGGACGACCCATCGAATCATTTAGTGCCATAGCGCTAGAAAATCAGTTTTTAAAAAGGCTATTAGCTGAAAAATATGACAAGTACAAGTTATTATTAAATAACATTATTCTATTAAAATCGAATAATGAAGATTTGCTAGAAAAAATAAATTTATTGAAATCAGAAATAACCAAGACCGGAATCTCACAAAAACCCAACACAACTGTTAAAGCTTGTCGCTCACTTATGCACTGCAGCGCGAAGCGAAGCGCAAAGAAAAAGGTTGTTATGAATTTTCTTCATGTAGTTAAATATACTCGCGCGTATCTGTGCGAAGCAACGCGCTGCACAGCGAAGAAATTCTGTTCAGCGCGCTTCGCATTGCACTAGTAAGTCGAGGTCTATGGAAGTCATGCGGAAAATTTTCCAATTTTCGTTTGTCATCATCTACTTTCGACGTGTCTCGTACTGAAAAAAAGTACCCATATTCACTAATATGTGCTAATATCGCTTATGTACAGTTGGTTGTAAAATAATAGATTGTAAAGAAATAGGTGAAAGACGTCAACAGAAAGGTTTGAAAATTACAGTTTTACCATGTCTTTAATTTTAAAAATTACATATTTATATAGTTATTTGCATGCTGCTAATATTCCACGTTTATTCTATAAAGGAAAATAGTACCATGTTTTATGAGTGAAGTAAAGCTGATACTTTTTGTGGTTAGATTGCGTACGTTTGCAAAGTAACGACAAAAAATCACTATTGCTCCAACGTGTCTACACACCTACTTCAACGTCAAAATACAACTGCGTTCGATTCGGAACTGAACAACAACGTACTGTACCTCGTACCTATATAAGCGAAAAACCGTGCACATATTAGCGCTCATTTCTAAACTTCGTCGCGCCGTGCTTCGCTTCTCTCTGCTTCTCCGCGCTTAAGTGAGCGACAAGCTTTACCTCGAGTTTATTAAAAACTCAAGGTAATGAAGATAAGACGACCAGTGTCCAGTTAACGAATTCTAAATACAAAACAAATAATGAAACTGACTCAAATAAAAAATTTAATGATAAAAACACCAAACATGTTGAAAGGAATTCCAATATACAGAGCAATTAAAAAATTACTACAAACGAATTAAATGAGCAATTAATGAAAATTTAAACCAAACAAACATTGACTACATTACACATTTAACTGTTGAGAATGAAAAAAGCACAAAAATGAATATCAATCATATAATAACGGAGAGTTCAGGGAATAAAACGAACGATAAAGGATATCAGATTGTGACAAAAAGACGCAAGAAAATAATGGGAACTGGAATCGGTGATAAGGATTTTTATGGAAAATCCAAAAAATCAGATAAAAAATTGTGGTTCCGGATCATCTCAAAAGTTCCGGATATGGTAAATGCGAACCACATCTAGAGTTTCATAATACCTAAGACGAACTGTAAGTATATACAAGTCAAATTGTTACCAACTGACCATAAAAGAAGGGATAATCGATGTTTTATGATAGGTGTACTACCTGACTGAGGGGAAGAAATTTACAACCAGATATACCTGTCAAAAATGTCAAAAATTTGTATGCTTAGAACACGCAAAATGCATCTGCTCCGACTGCCTACAAGATGGTATTTCAGAAGTGAAGATTGACTTATTTCAAGTTATAAATTCATTCATGTATCTACTTTACACAGCTCAATCATTTGTTTTTTATTTAGTCTTTGTTTAATTTCTTAGAAATAAATGTTTTTTATTTATTTAGTTAGTGTTTTTGTGTTTTATAGTACTTAAAATGCGAAAAAGATATATCTGTTAACTTTTATTTTCAAATCATGAGTTTAAATACAAATTATAATAAATTTGTGTGTAAATGTTTTTTTGTCTACTTTAATTATATATTTAAATAATCGACCAGTTCTTAGACCGTTTTTCCGAAAATATTTGTTTTTTGTACCTTTTCTAGATTTGCCGACTGCTAGTCCGACGTTACACACCATCATGCCACGTTATCGCTGAAAGGTTAATACCAGAGCTATTAAGAGTATCTAGTCCAGTAGTTAATTTATGTGGTCGCTCTTAAGTTATTATACTTTATCCAATCTTTTAGGTAGTGTTCGTTCTTCCTTATTAACTGTTTTTTTGTTTCTGTTCTCTCACACGAGAAACTTTGGCTACTGCCCAAAAACTTACATCGGTCAAACTGGTAGAAACTTTGATAAACGAATAGCAGAACATAAAAGGGCTTTCAAGAATAGAAAAACAGATTCGACATATGCTCTTCACCTTCTAGATCATAATCATTCTTTTAATGACAAATTTAAAATTCTTCACATTCAAAATAAAGGCCTTAAGCTATCTTTGTTAGAATCTATGGAAATCAACAAATTAAAAAACACAGATATAATTCTGAATGACCAACTTGAGACAAACAGTTCTCCCCTCCTCAACCATTTTAATAAGTTTGCCAAACCCAGTGCTGAAAACAACATTCTTTTAATTCTCGACAATCACAGCTCTCATCGTGACCTGCAAGCTAAAATATTGCCGGGAGAATCACATTGATCTTTTATCTCTACCGCCATATTCAAGCCATAAACTACAGCCACTGGATATCGGTTTTTTTGGTCCTTTAAAAAAACCTACAGTAGGGAATTTGACAAGTAGATGGTAAGTAATACAGGTAAAGTAATTACACAATTTCAAGTTGCTGGAATATTTAGTACTGCTTATGGTTCTGTAGCAAATATTTAGAAGGCCGAAAATTATTTTAAAGCATCGGAAATATATCCCTTTAACCTTGATCAGTTTCATGACATAGATTTTGCCCCCTCCAATGTTACCAACGTACCTTTGGACAATCCAGTAAGCGCGGTAGTAGATAATACTTGAAATGGAGTGCGTGAAGAAGAAGAAAATAATTTACTTCAGCTTCCAATACCATCTTAAGTAATACCTCCTTCAAAGCAGCCTGAAAATGAAGATGATCTAATCTCTTTTCACGTTACACCGCCCCTCGATTTGGCTAATCTTGATATCGAATGCGAAGATGGTATATTAATACCATCATAAGCTAGCACTAATAGCTTAAATATGTCAGTGTTAGCGTTAGAGATTTTACCATTACCCAATATTAAAGAAAAGCCCAATAGACGCAAAACAAAATATCAAAAGTCCGAAGTACTTTCCAGTAGCCCATACACAAAAGAACTTGAGAATTTGGAAAAAAACCAAAGAAGTAGAACAAAAAAAGAAGTCGGAACAAATAAAAAGAAAATTAGAGCCTAGTTGTAGTATATCATTGCGCAAAGTTCAAAAAGGGAATAAAGAAAATGATCCTGATGTAAAGTGCCCAAGATGTAATGAATTATATTTAAATTCTGTTGAAGACTGGATCATGTGCTTTCAATGCAAGAATTGGTGGCACGAATCTTGTACGACTTACGTAACAGGACACTTCATGTGTTTTAACTGTGAGGAGTAGCAATGGACTTAAAAAGATGAAATAAAAATGAGTTCTAAAACATACTTTTCATATTTCTTTTTTGTGCATTTGTGTTGCGTTTATTTTAGAAATAAAGTTTGATTTTTGGAATGTCTTAATATTTTTGTACACTTCAGTAATGTGCGTACTCTTAAACATATAGATGCGTACTCTTATGCAAATTTGTGTATAAGAGTACGCATTAGCAGCTTCGCAAACAAAAGTAAATATTTCTTATTAAACTGTTTATTCGGGCTGTTGGGCCGTTGTCTTCTGTTGAGATTAGTTCTCGACGTTTCGCCAACACTAGGGGTTGGCATCTTCTGGAGATGTTGATCTTGCTTCGCTTGTAAGCAGAAACTGACGACGCGTTGTACTACGGAGGCAATATTTATAATTCCCACTCGCCTCCCCTCCACTGGTTTCGGCTTGAGGGGGCGTGTCGTTGTTTATAGTAGCTTTTCTATCTCCGTGTTTGGCGGGAAGGGCGTTTGTGGATTTTAATACTGGTATCCATGTTTTGTTGATTTTTAGTCCTTCTTCTATCCTATTGAAATTGTTTGGGTGCTTGTATATTTCCACCGCTTCCCGATATAACCGTGGGTAGTACTGTGAAGTTTTGTCCAGCATCTGTGTTTCTTCAAATAGTATTCGATGTTCTCCGCTTCCCAAAGCGTGTTCGGCAACGGCAGATTTGTCGATATGTCCTAAACGACAATGGCTTTTATGTTCATTTATCCTGGTGTTGGTGTGTCTTTTTGTGGTTCCCACATATACCATTCCACATGTGCATGGTATTCGGTATACTCCGGCCGTTGCTAATGGGTCGCGTTTGTCTTTTACCGATCTTAAACAATCCTTGATCTTCTTTGTAGGTCTGAAGATGGTCTTTATGTTGGCTTTCTTGAGTATTCGCCCAATTCTGTCCGTTACCCCCGATATATAGGGCAAGAACGCTTTCCCTTTACATTCTGTTTCTTCGTCCCTTCTTCTAGATACGTTGTTCATCGCCTTGTGTATTTCTCTTCTGGTGTACCCATTAGAGGTGAGCGCTTTTTCAATATAAAGAAGTTCACTTTGGAGATGTTGTGGTTCACAAATTCTCTTCGCCCTCTCTGCCAAAGTTTTGATGATACCTTGTTTTTGGCTAGGATGATGATTTGAGTTCCTGTTTAGGTATCTGTCTGTGTGTGTAGGTTTTCGATACACTTTATGTCCTAAGTGACCTTCCTTTCGATTTACTAATACATCTAGGAACGCTAGTTGTTGAGCTTTTTCTGTTTCCATCGTAAATTGAATATTTGGATGTAGTGTATTTATATAAGCCAGGAAATCGTTTAGTTTTTCTGCTCCGTGACCCCAAATCACAAAGGTGTCATCAACGTATCTGAACCATACCCTAGGCTTGTATGCTGAGTCCATTATCTTCTTCTCTAAATGCTCCATAAAAAGGTTGGCTACGACCGGGCTTAGTGGGCTTCCCATTGCTACTCCATCCATCTGTTCATAAATTTGGTCTTCCCATGAAAAGTATGTGGTAGTTAGGCAAATACGGTATAATTCCACCATATCCTTGGAAACTAGTCCCTCAATTAAATTCAGAACGTCTTCTAGGGGGACTCTTGTAAATAGGGAAACCACATCAAAACTAACAAGAATGTCAGATTCCTGCAAAGTTATTCCTTTGATCTTCTCAATAAAATGGGCGGAGTCTTTTACAAAGGCATCGTTTTTTCCTATATGTGGTTGTAAAATATCGGCCAGATGTTTTGCAAGGCTGTAAGACGGAGATCCTATGGAGCTCACAATAGGGCGGAGAGGTACATCGTCTTTGTGTATTTTCGGCAAGCCATACAAGCGTGGTGGGACTGCTTCGCTGTTGCATATTCTTGGCTTTATCTCCTCTGGTATGGACGAAGATTTAATAAGTCTGTTGATTTTCCGTAGGGTGACTGCTGTGGGATCTTTTTTAAGTTTCTTATAAACCGCAGGATCTAGAAGATTTTGTATTTTCGTTTTGTAGTCGGCTGTCTTCATTACGATCGTGGCGTTTCCCTTGTCTGCTGGTAAAATTACAACATCTTTGTCTGCGTTGGGAACCACAAAAAAAAAAACACCAACACCAGGATAAATGAACATAAAAGCCATTGTCGTTTAGGACATATCGACAAATCTGCCGTTGCCGAACACGCTTTGGGAAGCGGAGAACATCGAATACTATTTGAAGAAACACAGATGCTGGACAAAACTTCACAGTACTACCCACGGTTATATCGGGAAGCGGTGGAAATATACAAGCACCCAAACAATTTCAATAGGATAGAAGAAGGACTAAAAATCAACAAAACATGGATACCAGTATTAAAATCCACAAACGCCCTTCCCGCCAAACACGGAGATAGAAAAGCTACTAAAAACAACGACACGCCCCCTCAAGCCGAAACCAGTGGAGGGGAGGCGAGTGGGAATTATAAATATTGCCTCCGTAGTACAACGCGTCGTCAGTTTCTGCTTACAAGCGAAGCGAAGATCAACATCTCCAGAAGATGCCAACCCCTAGTGTTGGCGAAACGTCGAGAACTAATCTCAACAGAAGACAACGGCCCAACAGCCCGAATAAACAGTTTAATAAGTTAGACGATGGCCGTGAAAGCCTAACGCAATTTAAATATTTCTTATTTGAACACAAACATGGTTTAAAAATATTCTAAAACATCTGTTTAAATGGTTGATTACCAATATGAGAAATGATACATAGTCCATTTTTGTAAAAAAAATGTCGCACTTTTAATATTAAGTGTCTACTCTTATCTGCAATTACCCTAATATTTTATAGCTATTTAAAAACTAAAAAGAGAATAAAAGAAGCTAAGAAGAGAATGTTACATGAGCAGTGCCAAGAACTAGAAGAAATTGAGAAAAAAATATGACTTTTTTAACATGTATACAAGAATTACAGAATTAACAGGAATGAGAAAAACACTTCAAACTAGGCAACTAAGAGATGAAAGGGGTGCACTCATAACAGATATAAACCAAAAAATGTAGAGATAGACACAATATATAGCACAACTTTTTGAAGACAAAGAGAGAACAAAAACACCGATAGAATTTAAGGATGATACTGGGCCTGACATTATACGAGAAGAAATTGATTATGCAATGAAACAAGCTAAAGGTGGTAAATCTCCCGGGCCTGATGAAGTTCCTATCGAATTACTTAAAATTGTGAATACTGAATCCATTGATCTTCTTTTGGATCTATTCAATACCATATATAGAACAGGTATAATTCCTAAAGAATGGCTCCAATCAACATTCATACTGCTTCCCAAAAAAGCCAATGCAAAGGAGTGCAATGAACATCGCACCATAACCTTAATGAGTCATGTCTTGAAATTGTTTTTAAAAGTAATTCACAATAGAATACATAAGAAATTAGATGAAGGCATAAGTAATACACAAATGGGATTTAGGAAAGGACTGGGAACACGAGATGCACTGTTTGCAGTAAAGGTTCTTTCGCAGTGATGCTTAGATATTAATCAGGAAGTATATGCCTGCTTCATTGATTTTGAGAAGGCATTTGACAGAGTGCAGCATAATCGACTTAAAGAAATTTTATTAAATAAAAACATAGACAGTAGAGACATTAGAATCATCTGTAACCTCTATTGGAATCAAACAACAAAAGTGAAAGTTGACAACGAACTGACCAAGGATATCCAGATTTGCCGTGGGGTCCGCTAAGGGTGTATTTTATCACCCTTGTTATTCAATTTATACAGTGCAGCCATCTCAGAATTAGCTCATGCCGCGATCAGTGAGGGCCTTATAATAAACGGTGAGCCACTTAATAACATAAGATATGCTGACGACACCGTCCTTCTGGCAGGAACACTAGAAGAACTGCAACACCTTGCTGAACAACTAAATATATATTGCAACGATTATGGACTAAAATTTAATTTGAAAAAAACCAAGTTCATGGTATTTACAAAAGCACAAAACATCAAAGTTAAGCTAGTAATAGATAATACAGAAATTGAATAATATATCTTCGTACAAATACCTTGGAGCATGGATCACAGAAGATACTGAGCAGACAAAAAAAATAAGATGCCGCATTGAAATTGCGCGGTCAACTTTTAATAGAATGAGAAAACTATTTTGTAATCGCGATATCAATATATCGCTCCGGATAAGCATGCTTCGATGTTATATTTTCTCTACCCTTTTGTATGGAATTGAAGCTTGGACACTTAAAAAATCCAACATTGAAAACCTAGAAGCATTTGAAATGTGGTGTTACCGACGTATTTTGAAAATATCATGGATGGATCGCAAAACAAACGAACAAGTTCTCGAACAACTAGGAAAACAATGCGAAGTTTTAAATTCCATAAATATCAGGAAATTGGAATACTTGGGGCACACCATGAGAGGTGAAAAGTACGAACTACTAAGGAATATAATGCAGGGAAAATCAAAGGTAGAAGAAGCGTAGGAAGACGTAAAATCTCGTGGCTACGCAATATCCGTGAATGGTTTGGATGCAGTTTAATTGAACTATTCAGGCGAGTAACCAATAAAATTATAATTGCCAGAATGATTTCCAATCTCCGTTAGGAGTGGAACTTGAAGAAGAAGAAAAACTAAAACTGATGAAGATTGGTATTTAAAAGTCATCTATTTCTGCTCTAATGAATTTATTATTTACTTTGCATCATACTGTATATTACCCATATGGTTCCTACATATTATACGTAGCTTAAAAGAATTTATATGGTAAGTAGTTGTTATGCTTACCTCAAATACAAATTCGTCCTCCACAATGTTTAAACCTAAATCAAAAAATGGCATTGATTCTGCTAAAATAGATTTAATTACTGCTTCAGTAACATCTGCACCACCAGTACCTGAAACTAAAATAGGATTTTTTATACAAAAAGTTTTCACTACTTGAACAATTTGTAGGATTTGTAAAAGTTATTATGTAAAAGTTATAAAAATACTTATAAATAAATAAATTTATTACATTAACAATAATTATATACGTAGTATAAAATGAAAAACTGCTTACGAGTTTTAGTTCTGTTCAGGCGATGCACAGAATTCTCAAAATTATTACAGCTTTCATAGAATTCCAAGAAAAATTTGACCGAATCTTCTGTAGACTCATTAAGCTGCTTGTAAAAATTTCTGAGACTAGACTTAAAGAACTTGGAGTTCCTACTTTCTCCAGGATTGTCACAAATAACGCTGAAATAGTCCATATTATTTTGTGAGTCATCGCATGCATTGGGATTATCGTCATGGTTCATCATGGCAAGCATGACAGAAGCGGCACGTTTACATACGCCTTCTTGGCATACTTCTGCTAAATTTCCTAAATAAAAACATCCAAGGGGTTAAAAATATAGATAATTAGCGTGAAACTAGGAGAGAGTTGCAACTTAAGTTTTAAGACATGACCACAGGGTAGAATGGTAAAAAGAATTTGATATATATATGTTTACATTTCCAAGCAAGGTATGAATATAATTCCAAATGCCAAGCATAAGCTAATTGGTTGCGAGGTTTTAATGAGAGAAAGACGATCATACACTGTTGAGTCAAGCATGCCTAATCCTCATGAATTGGCTAATGAATTTTAAACAAAATTCTACCCTTTGATTAGAAAGTGCAACTTATGCAATTAATTTGTTTAGAGCTAAAAAATAATTTTAAAATTAAAACAAATGGGAAAAAAATGTATTGATCCCACTAGATAACTATAAAAACACTCAATCTGCTTTCAATTTTATTTTACTTACTTGTCTTACAACTTAAGTAGCAACGTTTAAAATTTAATTTTTCAGTGGAATATGATCTTATTTATTATGTTATTATTAAATAGTATTAATACAATTTTAAGCAACTTGGTAGAATATAAATGACAAAAATCAAGGGGAGCATTTAAAATCATCACAGAACTCATGTTAAGTTTTTTATTATATTTATTACTGTCAAAATAATAAAAATTGTAAAGTAACCTAATAGAACAAGAGTTGAATTTGTGGATTAATGTAATTAGTGTCATTGAAGTAGGTGTAAGTATTGCATTCATTTTAAACTAATTGCTTACAGTTAAGCAAGCAAAATCAATCAAGATAAAAAACAGACGTCAGACTGCTAGGAACTATATAGCTGTATACCTTCGATTTAATTTGAGTCTCTTACCACACTCCCTAACACGTTTTTTCACTGTAAGAAGACTCAAACCAAATCGAAACGCACCGACTACTCTGTCAATTATGGGAAAACTAATTACCAGAATATGCTACTAGATACCGCTAATGAGGAAAGATGAAGTTAAATGTGTCGATAGCAATTAAAGTAAACTGTATACCCAAGCTTAATCAAGCCATTCAGAGCGATGCTGTAAATATTTATATTTCACTATGCATCGTTTTTGCATTTATGTGCATTTATATGGGTAAATTTTTGATGCATAGTGGAATATAAATATTCTCAGCATCGCTCTGAATGGCTTGATTAGGCTTAGGCATACGGTTTATTTTAATTGCTATCGACACATTTAACTTTATCTTTCCTTACTAGAGGTAATTATTTTTCCTATAAATGCCAGAGTAGTCGGTGCCTTTTGATTTGGTTTGAGATTTCTTACAAACTTTCTCTTATGACGGGTAGCCCCAGAAAAACGTTTGAGGGAGTGGTAAGAGCCTCAAATTAAATCGAAACGCCACCATCTTCGTATATATATATATATATATATATATATATATATATATATATATACAGCTATATAGTTCCTAGCAGCCTGACTTTTTTTTATCTTAATTAATTTTGCTTGCTAAACTGTAAGAAATTAGTTTAAAATTAATACAATACTTACATCTACTTCAATGACACTAAATACATTAATCCACAGATTTTAACTTCATATAAGTTATATAAGATAGTAAGGGGAAACTAAAGTTATATGAAAGAGAACTCACCTCCATCAACCCCCTAGGCCCCACCCACCACAAGCAAAAAAGTTTCAATTGCAAACCCCTACTTGTGATACGACATTGAAAAGACTATAAAAAATGCTATCCAATGGTGTAAATAATATTTATACAGGGTGAAGCAATAATTGTGAAGCTTTGGCTTAAATGTAAAATTCATTGAGGTTATTATCATAGATCATTGTATCAGAGATCTATGATCTATAATATAATGAGCATATACAATGTATTTAACAAAAATTAAAAATAGTTATTAATAACGTATAAAAGTTTAAAAATATTACGGTAGAACCTTAAATACGAAGCATATATTTAGTTTTGGTTAAAAGCTCTAAGTGTAAAAGCCATGCAGAAAATGGAAGTGATGATAATACGTACCCAAATGCAGCCCTAGGCATACACAAATAACTTTAACGTCGATTTTGATATGTTAAGTATAGAGGAGCTATATTTGATAATTATTTACTTCCTTGTTTGTTATTGTCTCCAAAGAGACGATTTAAAAAATATTTTTTGGTATATATTAGGACTCAAACCTATATAATTCGGTACCACAGGCGAATACACCGGTGGCCCACAAAGGCAACAACCTCTTAAATAAATATTTCACAAAACTAAAAACACAAACTCCAAAACTTAAAAAATCACATGTTGTTTACGAGATACCATGTACTAACTGTGAAGGTGTCTATATCGGTCAAACCAGTCAACTGCTTCAATCCAGAATTCGTTCTCACAAATATGACAAGAACAACGCCACTGCGCCCACAAAACATGAAAGCGGGAATAAGCATAAATTTGATTTTGAAAACAGCAAAATTTTGAAAACCGAACAAAACAAAAAGAAGAGGGAGATATACGAATCAATAGAAATAAAAAGAAACTTAAACGCAATAAATGACAAAAAAGATACACAAAACCTAAATAAAATATATTTCAATCTGATTTAAACAATAATAATATAACATCATAAAAAGCCCTTAAAGTTATAACATATCTCCACCTTATCTTTGTCGAAAACACCAATGATACGCCCATATAAAAATAATTATATACCAATTACAGTAAACAATGAGATATCAGATATCAACTTTTATTTGTCAGTTCGTTAATGTCTGTGTCACGTTTTACGTTTTGGTAAGTCATATATATATATATATATATATATATATATATATATATATATATATATATATATATATTTAAATATATATATATATATATATATATATATACATATATATATATTTTACAATATCTGTTTGTCCTTATACATATACATTTTAGAATCTTGACAAAGGCAAGGGTTTCCTGCCGAAACGTTAATTGATTGCTATGGAAAATAAAATCTAGTTTTACATGTAATATAATCTTATTGTAATATAAATAATATAACAAAACTACTATATATATATATATATATATATATATATATATATATATATATATATATTCGTATAACCTTTACACATTGCAGTTTTACATAAAAAAAATAATTATAATAATAAATAAGAAAACACAAACATAGAACATATAAAATTAAAATTATTAAAGTCGAAGGTTGCAGCCTTAAAGCCAATCTCTTGCCTTGTGAGATGATGGATTTCTTAAAGACTGCCCACCAACTTAGTGGCTGGACACTTGAAGACGATGTGGTTAATTGTTTGTTCAACAGCGCTGCATTTGTCACATCCCGGACTGGCATTTATACCCCACTGGTTCAGAGGTTTGTTACAAACTACATGACCAACTCGTATTCTCTTAAGGTTGCACCATTCACGACGAGGAAGAGAAAAGCCGTCTGGTTTAATTGTAGGATTTTCTATGAGATTAGCAAATCTGATATCTGAATTCCATTCGCCCATCCAGTGCTCCTCAGTAGTGAAATCAGCCAATCTTGTAGCAGTTCTAGTAGGTGGATGTCTGGATTTCAACTCTCTTTGGTCTAGATCAGCGATGTCCGTATTTATTGGTAGTGCTAGGTTTTGTAAGCATTTTTAAACTAGTATGTTGAAGTACACTGGTGGGTAGTGAGAACAACTGGTGGATCGATGTTGCCTAAAACTAGAAGCGATTGGGTTGCTGTGGACTTTATAGTGTTCGTTATGTGCCTCATTGTTTGATTTAACTGGATATCTATGACTTTTATGTGATGACTGTTTAGCTAGACAGGAGCGTAATATTCTGCAGAAGGATATACTAAGGAAAGCTCGCTCGTTTTGATGACCTCTGCAGTAGACCCCCATGATGTATTTGCTAATTTCTGAATAATGTTATTGCGGTTCTTTATTTTGCTAAAGTGTTTTTTAATACTTTTTTAATGTTAGGTTACGATCTAGAGTGACGCCGAGGTATTTTGGGTTCGAACTCTGCTTTAGAATGGTCCCATCGCATTTTATGTTTAGTCTGTAATTTGCCTTGTGGATATTAAGATGGAAAGCTGTTACTTAGTCTTTGATGGGTTTGGTTGTAGGCCCGTGTCTTAAAGTATCTGTTAACAGTATTTAGATCTGCTTCTATGGTGATTTCGGAGATTTTTATGTCTTCTTCTTAAGCATCCAGAGCCATGTCATTGGCATACATAAATTGGCTCTAGGTGGAAGTTGGCACTGACGTATAAATATTAAAAAGAAGAAAAGACATAACTGACCCTTGTGGTAAGCCGTTTTGCAGGTTTCTAAACTTACTGTTTTGCCCATTTAGGTGTACTTTGAAAAGTCTGTCACGTAGTATTTGGTTTATCAGACTGTTAAAAAATATGCTACTGTTTTAGAAGGAGAGGACTTGATTGCCACAGCTTCTTTTCAGCATGAATCCAGCTTGTTCTTAAGAAATATTTGGCTTTGTAAGGTAAACTAATCTCGTTTGGATTATACTCCCAAATATCTAGCAGACGCTTAAAAGAGCGATAGGTCTCTAGCTCTCAGTTAGTACAGAGTCTTTCCCAGGTTTAGATATTGCGATGATCTTACTTTTTTTGGAGAGTTTTGCAAACTCCTGCTTATTCAATATTTGATTTTAAAATTCAAGAAGCCACTTACTGGCATTTGGACCAATGTGTTTTTTAAATTCAGGATGTTGTCAACACCTGCGGCTTTCGGGCATTTAATTAATTTTAGAGCTCCTGGTCTAAATATAGAGAATAATGTCTAAAAAAAATAAGGTTATATACGATTTTTTGATTTGATAAAAACTGAATATTTTGTATCCAACTTAACTTATACTTAACAATAATGTTTTTTATTTTCTTTTATATACAACGTAAAAAATACATATATCACTCCTACGTCCTTTCATCCTGGTAGAAACTCCGCATTTGATTACTAGAGAAATATTTAGGGTATATTATATTTCACAGGGATATATTCTAAGAATTTTAACAGGTTGACTGCCCATATATAACTGAAAAAAATTGCTTTAAATGCCAAGTTCATAATAATTACAAACATTCCTTTCTAAAATGATTACTTTTGTCAAGCAGATTAGTGCGAGTCCAGTTTTGACTGTTATTTGATGTGCGTGTTGTACAGAAATGAGTAATCAAAGAAGAACAATTGTGGAACTTGCTTTGAAAGATGCTGAATATTCAGGTAATAACGATACTCGTGTTTGAAATAACAACAAATCTTTTGAAAACCACTTCTTTTGATTTTTTTTTGTAGTTCAGTATAATTCGTATTTTTTATTATTTAAGGGGACGAATGTGACCCCTTTAGTTCTCTTGATTTCGCTTTTGACCTAATGTTTTTGCCAACCAGTGATGAAGAAATAGTATTCAGTTCAGATTTATTGAATATAGAAGCATTTTCAGACATCTTTTTTAGAAAATAGCGTTTAAGCAAATAAAAAACGCAAATTGCAACCAATTAAAATCATTTTAAAGAAATTGCGTACAAGAAATTTTTTGAATCAACCAAGCTGTTTTACATCACTATTAATCAATGGTACATAACAGGAAGAAAGAGAAGGTGCTGACGCTATAGGTATCATTTAATTTGATTCTATAAAAACAAACAAGAATGTGTTTTTCAAAGATTTGGAACGGGAACGAAACAATATTTCACCTCAAAAATTGAAAGAATTCTTTCATATCAAAACCTTAGCTGAAGCCGAACTAGCATATATGAAATCCCATTAGCATAATTTGAGGTTGACGCCAACCAAAATATTCTAGAATATACGTGGACGCAGCTAATTGATAACAATTGTGAATTTGGAAACTCTGTAGAAGGTAGATTATGTGGGAATTACATGCTACACAGATGGGCTCGAACCGAGAAAAAAGAAATTATTAGATTTATTGGTGGAGTAGCTTACATCTTCTTCTTGATGTGCCTCTCCATAACGAATATTGGCGATCATCATGGCAATCTTTATCTTATCTGCAGCAGCGCGGAAAAGCTGCACAGATGTTAAATTAAACCAGATTCTGAGGTTCTTTAATTAAGATGTTTTTCTTCTTCCTGGACCTCGCTTTCCAAATATTTTTCGTTGCAGGATGGCTTGAAGGAGAGCATATCTGGATTCATTTCGCATAATATGTCCGAAAAATTTCAACTTTCGAGATTTGATGGTAGTCAGTACCTCTCGGCTCTTATTCATTCTTCTGAAGACCTCCCCATTTGTGACTTGGTCAGTCCAAGAGATCTTAAATATTATTCGACATGGAAACATCCCAAATACTTTCAATTTTCTGCACATATCTTTGTTCAAGATTCACAAATCAATACCATAAAAAAGGACAGACATGACGTAGCATCGCAGTATTCTTACTTTTGTATTAAAAGAGAGGTTGTGACTCTTAAAGAAGGTCCTTATCCGATTCAAGGTGGATCTAGCTTTTCCAATACGTGCTCCAATCTCCTGGTTGTTGATCCATTCTTCATTTATTATGGTGCCGAGGTATTTGTAGTGCATCACTCTTGCTACAGAGGATTGGTTGACGTAGAGTTGACCTTCTGTTATTCTTTTCTTGCTAATTATCGTAAGCTTTGTTTTGTTAACGTTTATATTGAGTTCATATTGTTAAAAATTAAACGTGATTTTGTTCATAAGAACTTGTAGGTTCAGATCTTGGTTTGCTTCTTTTAGTATTTGCATCATTTTGTCGTGCTGTACTCGATTAAACGCTTTCTCGTAATCAACCATACACCTTACACCATGGGTCTGATAAAAAAGCCTTCTTTGGAGAAGTATTAGAGCCACGACGAGCTATATAAGAATTTTATTATACCAAAAACCATGTCCCAAAATAGATTTCAACTGCTTCTTATAATCTGGCAATTATCAGATAATGAAAGTTGCCCAGAATTATTTAAGATACAGTGATTAGCAAAAAGACGTCAAATTTTTTTAAAAGGTCTATAATCCTGGACGAACATTTTGTATAGATGAGTCTATTGTTTCATTTCAGGGACTATTGATATTTAATATATAAGTTATTCTCCCAATAGGGGTTATTGCTGACCCTGAGACAATGTCTCTGAATAGGTTCTAGATGGCAAGTGTGAGTCCTTATAATCTTGATAAAAAACTTAACACTCCATCTAAGCCAACTTTTATAATATCTGAAACTATAATTGTTGTAAAGTGTTCTCTCTCAAAATTAATCCGCTAATATCTTAAGTTCTTTGTAGTGCTTATTTGAAAGGATCTTGATCTTTTATTTTGACTAAAAGTCTTACTTAATATTTCCTTTAAAAAATCGTATTACTTAACTTTATACATGGTATACTTGTTTTAGCGTTTTGTTTTGTTTTTGTTGTATTTTACGTAAACTTCCCTATTTTTTTGAAAGTTCTTTAGCTTACTAGTACTACGTTTACTAGTGAACCACGATTTCGTTTTTATTTTGTCAATAATATGTTTTGATATTGAGCACTATTTTTATTAAATTGTATGCTATATATTTTTTTATTATTTATAAAACCTGCAGAATTCCATCCAAGCATTACTTTGTTTGGATACTCTTCTCCAGTTATATAGAATTAACATCGCTCTAGCATTTTTGCTTACTTTGCCTAACCTCTTCCTTGGTCTTTTCACTGGTCGACGGCTTACCATAGTTCTAATATGCGCTCTGGTAGGTGTTTTGTTATTATCTATTCTTATAAAGTATTTTTGCATAATTTACTACAGTGCACAGCTAGCCATTGTTGCTAGTGGATAATAATATATTTCTTAGTATCCTTCTTCCAAAGCTATTGATAGGGTGTATTGTTTTTTTTTTGTTAAAATCCATGGTTCTGCTCTATATGTAGCTATTGGTGGTACAATAATTTTTTACTTTTCTATGAACGTTTTTTAATCCAAACATTTGCAATAAAGCGAAGTATTCTCTAATAGCTAGCATAATTTATCACACAGGTATGTGAACTGTTTTAATATCTCAATGTTTGCATCACTTAATGTTATATATTTTGCATGATTTGTTATTTTTTATTTATACTAGTGTTTTAGTTTTAACTACATTGACAAATAAAAGTATTCTTTCTCATTTTCCTCAGGCTATAATAATATATAACTTTTTACAGACATTTTTCTCCTTATATGTTACATACATAAGTAATTATGTAATTTGTTCTCTGAAAACTGACCCAATCTTCTGTTTATTTTCTATGTACATACCTTATAGCCCCTACAGAGCAAGCAACTGTCTTTGTAGATCTATATCTAAGCTTGTCTCCTTTATTAAGGATTATGCATATAATTGCTTTTTCCAGTCTCTTGGAATTTTTTTATGTTTAAAACGTCCAAAATATAACAGTTAACGACTCAAATATAGCTTACCCAACTTCCTAAGACATGCCCTAGAGGAAATTAGAGATACCCAAAAACTATTTTCTTATCTTAAAAACTGTCAACTACTTCAACAAATCTAAAACATGCATTGTAATATACGTACATATTAATATTGTAAACTTATGTATATACACTAATTGTATCAACTGTCACATTAATCTAAATACGCTAATGACCCTACGTGGTTGATGCGGTATTAAAATAATATATATATATATATATATATATATATATATATATATATATATATATATATATACATATATATATATATATATTAGAAAACCACATACCTATTGAAACTGGAAAACTAGTAGTTTTGTTTTATTATGTTGTGGACTAATAAAAATTATTGAAATTTTGCTGTTAGTTGTTAACTGGTTTATCTACAACATGAAAATATTAATAGCATTAATATGTTAAGATAGGCAGATTTTTATTCAAGTTTAAAAATATACCTGTAGTAAGTTGCCTTGTCAGCAACACTGTTGTACTAGAAACAGGTTTAGTAGATCTATTTGTAGTTTGGGCAAGTGAAGCCAAAGTAGTATTTGGTTGCGGATTATCAGTTGAAACAACTTCTTCCGTAGTTTCTGAATAACCACCACTAAGATCTGTTTCTTGAAGATTACTTTCTGTTGTCGATTCAGTAGTTTCAGGTATTGCTTCTGTAGTTGAATTGTTTTCTACGACACTTGCTTCTACAGGTTTTACTGTAGTAGTAGTTGTTGCTGTAATTAAGGCAGTTTTTTATTAAACAATTGTTTGAGCTTGAGTAGTAATTACATGATTTTCTATAGGTGTTTCTAAAGGTGTAAAGTTTTGAATAAGTATTAATGATGTATTCTATTATATATTGCATATTAAAAAATATTTAAGTAAGCCGTATGACGAAAACAAAAGCCAAAAAAAAACAAAATTTTTTGACCAAATCAAGTGTAACTTTATTAAATTAACTCTCCGGCAGGCGCGCTGTCGGTTCTATATTGCACTGCAAGATACCAGACGTATTGAGAAACAGCATAATAATAACAATGTTCAAGAAAGGAGATAAAGAAGACCCCAACAATTATAGAGCTATAAATCTACTAAACAGCTCAATTAAGCTTTCCACAAAAGTCTTCACCAACAAAATCAATAAATTAACAAGTTTGTCAGAAAAAGAACAAGGATTTTAGATCCGGAGATCCTGCGTTGACGCCTGTAGAGAAGAAACATACCAATCAATATCTTCCAAACCATCGACAACATCTACTTCCATAATGGAATACAGGAAAAGATTAGTGGAAAACTAATACAGTGTATACCAGTACAAAGCAGAGTCAGACAGAGTGACTCGTTAAGCCCACTTCTCTTTAATATAATATTGGACGAAATATTACAAGCAGTACGTAAAGGTCATGGTTACTGAATGGGGAACAAAGAAATCTTAATATTATGTTATACCGACGAAGACGATTATGTTATGCATTAATTTGCCGAGAAAGAAGACGAGCTCCGAACATTAACACCCATCTTCAATAAAACAGTCAAGAAATAAAATATGATCATATTAGTAGAAAAAGCAGAATGTATGAAAACATCTAAATACCCACTACGATGTAAAATCAAAATTGATGGGAAAATAATAAAGCGGGAAGCAAGGTTTGGATAGGAATATATAAAACTAGTTACGGAGATATTGGAATTACGAAGATATTCGAAATATTACGAAGATATTAGAAATACGAAGATATTCTGGAACGAACATGCCACCTACTGAATCCTCCAAAAAAAAAACATCTATGACAACAGCTTTGCTTAGACGACAACATGATATACCATGTATTGGGTGCCCTTGTTACTTTGGAACTGACTATTCCATACTGACACCGGACGCATATCCCTTAAAATTTATGAACCGTCGACACGGTTACCCGTTTAGAATCGGCCCGTTATTCGTTTAAAAAACGTTCGTTAACAAGAGCTCTTACGACGAACAAACCGTGTCCAATTAAGTTGTTAGTCAGACACTAAAGTATAATAAGTACAATATAGAGGGAGTTACAAAAAGGTATATCATAAATTAAATCACGAATTCCGAGGGCAAAAATAAATTGATTGAATACATTCTACCTTAGTACACAAGTGTACACAAAAAAAAGTTACAACTATTTAAAGCATGGACATATAAACATAGATGGACACAGCAATAAGATACCTTTAACACACAATGTTTTGAAGCTTCGATAGAATGTGATGCTTCCGCAATGAGCATAAGCGTGCTTGAATTTTTACTCGCGGGTAATTATTCAGATTTTAAAAATTTGAGAGTTTAACTATTAACAAATCACGTCTTTATAGAAAAATTAAAATACAATTTTATTTGCTTTAAAATTAATACAATAAAACATAGTTGAATACAAGTTAATTTTTAATAGGTATCAAAATAATGCTACATTAAAAAAGCTTTATGTTTACTCCTAAATTTGCTACCAAAATAGTTCGATCGTCAATATTATTTGGAAACCTACATAAAAAAATAAATAAGTTTTATTCATTTCACTAATTTATTTGCATCCATAAGAAATATTAAATTAAAAAGGTACTAAATAGATCTTTTTTAATCAGATGATGTCTACTTACAATTTAAAAATGTCAACTAATTTCATGAACTTATATCTTATTTAATACATTAATGAACATGAATAAACCCAATGGTCATTTCCTCATCCTAAATAATGTACATTTTATGTACTTACAAATGAAATGAGAGATCGGAATGTAAATATTTCGTTTATTTTATTTCACTTTTCACAAATATCACTCAAAATACAGCCAAAATATCGAAAAACAACTTTTACTAAAAAGTAAACAAACATGGAACAGCATTTGAAGTTTGACATAGATCCATAGAAGACCCATCCAAGACAGAGAAATATAAACAACCGTTGCCATTTATAAATAGTTTTCAGTGCTTCTACATATAAAATAATTGATTGATATCTAAATTATACGTTATTATTAAATGATAATTCAGACTATGTGCACATTATATATTTTGATTACAATTGAATATATTAATCTAACCAATAAATTATTATTTTGGTTTGATAGCACCTGTAGAGTATAAAATACGGAGTAATATTTTCAGCGACTCGCGAATAAGAAACAAAACGTGACAACAGTTGAAGGTGCTGAGAATGTGACCTATTCAAATAATTTTGACTTCACAATTTTATGTAAATAACTGAGTCCATCTGTGTTTATACGTCCATAATTTAATGATAATGATTTAGTGAATAATTTAAATGGTATGTTTTTATGCTTTGATAAACTTATAAAAACGCTACTTTATTTAAAATGTTTACTTTGGTATGTATCTCTCAGTTAATGAATATTTTATTTTAGCACATTTTTCTTCAATGAAACAGTAAATTTTGTTCACAATGATTAAATTTTAAGAAATTCTTACACTAATAGTTTCAAAAGTAAATATTTTTAAAAATCATACGATACACCTCAGTACGACCCTGTTTTCACGTGCGTTTGTTGACAATTGGGAAAATGTAAAATGAATGTAGTTTAATATCTTAATTATATATTAATAAGCAACAACAAATTACAATTTTTTTGGTTAAACTGAGTAGTTGTGTTAAGTGCAGTAATTTTATCGAAAAGACCAAACATATCACATATAAGAGATACTGTTTACATTAATGACCTTAATAAAAGGAAAGCTTTAGCGAAACAATGTGGCGAAACAAAGATAGATAATGGAAAATCTTGCAAAATTGTACCGAGTACACTGATTTTGGCTAGAGAATCAAATGAGTCCAACGTAATAAACACTGAGCAGAAATTCTATAAATAATCTGTTCGTATACAATAAAGGATAATAGATAATCTGAAAAGACTAAAAATAAATAAGAAGGTACTTGTGAGCTGCGCGTTCACCTCATTGTACCTAAAAGCAAGCATAAACAAAGTGAAGGATACCTCCTCGGAACCAGAAACCTCAGACACGCGGCAACCGACGACAGTTGCTGAGACCGAGACACCCCTGGTTCCACAGCAGGGAGAAGATCATCAGATGATGGTCGACGAACTCTGCGGAGGACGTTCCAAAACAATTGAAGATGACCCCTCCTCAACCGAGGAGGAAATGGACACCTAAAAAAAATCGGAACGATACCTAAACCATTGGCAAGGATGTCGAAAAAAATAAGGTTACCATTATTCAATGCAACCTCCAACACAAAAAGGTGGCAACGGCGACACTATGTCGTCGCCTGGATGAAACGGAGGATGCAATAGCACTAATCCAAGAACCTTGGATAAATAAGACCAAAATATCTGGTCTTAGCAGCCTAAACGGTCAAATTTTCAGCTTACCAAGCAATCAACAACCAAGAACAGCAATATATGTTCCCAGAAAAATCAAAGCCTCCCCCATGGCGCAGTTTTGCACCTCAGACGTAACTGCGGTTAAAGTGAAGTGCCCGTGGGGAAAGGGCAAAAATAGAGAGTTGATACTAGCATCGGTCTACCTACCCTCAGATGCAGCCACCCTACCACCAACAAGGGAAATGAAAGATCTGGTAGACCATTGTCTCAGTCAGAAAGTAGAACTTATTATCGGCTGCAATTCGAACTCTCACCACTTAGGCTGGGGCAGCAAAGACAACAACGCTCGAGGTAAGTCCCTTTATGACTATATTATTATAAAAGATTTGTATGTCTTAAATAAGGGTACCGAACCTACCTTTATTAATGTTCGTAGCCAAACAGTCATAGATATCACGCTGGCAACAGCTGAAATATCGAATAAGATTCAGAACTGGCAGGTATCAGAGGATATTTCTATGTCTGACCACCGCTGGTCAACCTATAATATTAGTCTGGAAAAAAGCCTTATCAAATCGCGCGACCCTAGGAGGACGGATGTAGAACTCTACAACCGACTCTTAAAAGATGCTCTGCGGAATGAAAAGGCTTCAACTCCAGGAACTAATATAGATTTGGAAAGGTATACGGCATCTATCCAAAACAAAATAAGCTATGCTTATAAAAAATCCTGTCCAATAAGGATAAAGTCCAGGTGGTGGTGCACTGAATTGGAACACCTTAAAAAGATAGCAAGAACAGCTTTTAATAGAGCGAAACGCACCAAACTCATAGGGGATTTGAATTCTTATCAATCAAATCTCAGAGAGTTTTGAGTCAAACCGGATGGAAGAAACAATCATACCCTCAACAAACGACTGGCATCTCGCCAGAACAATGATTAATGAGGAAAAGGTAAAATGGGCCATATCGTGCTTCACCCCTTTCAAATCACCTGGGCCTGACGACATATATCCAGCCCTACTAAGGTGGGGACTGGATATCCTTCTGCCGCACCTCGAGGAAATATTCAGACCCTCTTTGGTTCTGAGATATATTCCTAAGAAGTGGAGAGAGGTACGTGTGGTCTTTATACCAAAACCAGGTAGGATGGACTACACCCTACCAGAGGCTTTCCGAAATTAGCCTAACATCCTTTCTGTTGAAAACGATGAAGAGATAATGCGAGAGGTACATAAGGGATTAAGTTCTGGTTCATAACCCACTTCACCCAAATCAACATGCATATACTTCGGGAAGATCTACCGATTCTGCACTGCATCATGTAGGGGGAAAAATTGGAAGATCGCTGGATAATAAAGAATCCACCATAGAAATTTACTGGTAGTAAGTCTGGAATAAAAAT